ATAACAATTTTATAGCCAATTAACCAAACTACCCTTATCACTTATCACATCACAAATATCTCAAAAACCACCCGAAATACAAGCATTCAAAAACCCATTCAATCAATCATCCATTCCACCTCTAACAAATTTCATCATTTGAGGTTATAATACCTCTGAATCCATCACCCTCATAACATTTTAGGTTATGTAACATAATATAATATTGTGCAAATGCGAATACGAGTGTGCAGCTATTTTTGCGCGAACGTATTCACCGTTTCATCGATTTGTCGCGTTGTCGCCCCACACATGCTCCCCGCCACCTTCAGCCACCCCCGCAAGGGTGCAACGTATGTGCATCCCCCCTCGATAACCGACCACTGCACATTGCACACTTCACACACGCAAAGGGGAGTATATGTGGAGCATGTGCTCACGGAGGCGGCGCCTAACCAACAGAGCCTATGTACTATGTACGAACCCCGTCGGAATTCGCATGTGCACAACCCCCAAACGTCAAGGGGATGCACACGTATAAATTCGCAACGTATACGTTTGCAATGCAATTCACATCACACCACAATTCATTATTTTTCTTTATTTTGATGATTTTTTGGTGTAAAAATTTAATTCATGGTTTCATCACTTTTTCACCCTTTTGGGCTTTACTAACGGTTGTAGAATCTTACACGGAGGTGTCAATTATCCGATAATTTCACGCTTGGCGCCCCATTTCGTCGCGGTTCGTTTCCGCCGAAAAGTTTAGATAAAATCGCCGAAAAACACAAAAAGTATCAACACGATAATAAAAAAGCAAATAAAGTGTGCGTGATAAATATCTAGAGTGTAATAATCTATGGATATCTTTGTGTTGAATGTGTGTTTGTGCTAGTTATCAATGATTTACAAACGATGAGGTTTTTAACCCTTTTTCTGAGCACACGGTTTGTAGCAGATGTTTTCTTTGGGTAATTTAATGTCTGCGTCTACCTTTTCTTGTTTGCTGGGTTGGGTATCAACACTAAGGTGGTTTTTTATTGACTGGATGATGACTAACATGCGCATCAATTTACTATTTCATTAATTTACATTTAACCCTTTTATTTTGGTTTTTATTGAGTTTTTTCATTGGAATTATGGACATAAATATAGAAGTAGTTGAAATTTTTTATGTTGTGACTTTGAGAATGAATAACTTTTGAACTAGTGAATATTTTTCAAATGTTTAAAATGTAGATGAAAGATCGTCTAATTGTCTATACATCTTATTAAATATAGATAAATTCAATAATTATTAGTTTGTTAAAAATAAATTTAAAAAAAAATTAAAATTTTTGACTGCAAAAATTAATGTCACTTTTGATTGCTTATAAAATACGTAATTTTATATCAAATTATATTCTGTAAACGTCAATATAAACTATCACTAAATATCTACCCCTGTTCCTAATTTCACTTAAATCCAACTATTATAACCTAGTGAAATTCAACTTTAAAGAAAAAAATCACAAAATTCTCTTCATCACAATTTCTCTAATTTTACTAACTCCTAGAACACTAAAAATAATTGCAATTACTATATATTTCTGCCTAGGACTCTTTACTTTTAATAAATTGAACTGATTACTAATCAATAAATAAACGTTTGAATGAGATGAGGTCATTCCGGCGTTGTTGAGTATGCAGCCGTGCAGCCGGGCGCATGTTGTGTCCGAGGGGCAGTGAGCGCGGCCGCGGGGGTGGTTTTCAGTGGGGCATTGTTTCCAAACCGAAGATAGGGGGAGTTCATCGACATCGCAACTCACTATCATCCCCTGTACGAGTCGATATACGCTTAATGCCCCCATGTGTTCAAAAATAATTGGAAATCAAAAAATTTAAAAAATTTTAAATTAAAAAAACTAAAAATTTTGAAAAAATTAGAATTTTGATTTCTAATAATAAATCAGAGTAAAAACTGAGAATATAAAAATAGTAGAAGATGACTATAGTAGGGAAATAGATAGAAGTAGAGTCGTGATGACCCCTAATTCAGATTGCACCCTTTTTCTACTCCCTAATTTTTATACCCTTTTTAGCACAGAGTTAGCAATCGATTTAGTGCTTCATATTCAAAGTACTCATACTCCTAACACAGTGACTAAGATTATAAAACTAACCTTCATCTGTTTGTCACAAAAAATAACCTAAAACACCACTTATTGTTTTATTTTTATATTTTTAATTTTCTAACTAAACTATAATAGTTACAAAAATATTGTACAAAAACTAAAGATTGACAATTAAACAAACTATATATAACTTGTCTCAGAATATAAATTTGTCAAAAACTACCCAAGTTATTAGTTATCAAAGTGACAACTATAGTTTAAAAAAATGAAAACTCCAACCGGATTTCTGATAAATGCATACTGATTTTATAATTTAAATTGTGAGCAAACCGTGATAACTACCAAATAATTTAACTATAAATAGTTTATAGCCAATTAAATTACCTATTAAGACAAGTTTACAACATTAAAATATTATAACAATTACGCTTTATATCATCAATCAAATATGCAACTAAAAATATTTACGATTTGCATTTCTCAAAATAACAAAAATTATTAAAATAAAAATTGTAGCAAAACCGTAAAAGATACAATAAAAGTTAACTATAATAAATTTATAGTCAATTAGGTAAACTAACAATTAATAATATTATCTATTGAATAAAATAATTCTTTTTAATTCAAAAATAGTTTTACTCGCAAAAAAACTTTAATTATCCTTCACATTTATATTTTCCTCCTCTGACCTCTACTACTCCTAAAAAACAACCCTAGTACTTTATTTTTCTTTGTTTTTAATTTTAATTTCCTTATTGACCCCTCCCTTAATGTCTCGTGATGTTTGCTCGCCCGGCGCATCCACTAACACACAAAAACTTTATGATATCAACACACCGATAATACTAGAGTGGTGGTGTGGTCTTTGGTCATCCTTTTGATTGCTTCCTTGGACACTACACCACCACCCGCACCCCTGTCGACGTTTTGCATTTCATTTCACTGCGTCGTTTTAATAAAATTTTAATAAAAACCCTCCGATCGCGCGGCTCGCAAATGAAATATTTTCTTTCGCGGAATGCTGGATATCGAATGCGTCCGGCGATCGAGAAAATCGGAAAAACGAGATTAATTTCGCATCAGCCCTTATTATTTATGCAAGAGGGCGCAAAAAAAATGTTGCGAGACGTATAATCTAATAAAATTCAGTGAAAGAATACTGATGTGTTTTAAATGAAAAGAAAATCAACCCTTTGATTTAAGTCGGCCAAGTTTTAGGAAGAAAAATATTTAGGGGTTGAGTTTTTAAAGGGGATAATTTTTTTTTGATTTTCTTTGAATGTGTTTTTTTTTTTTTGGAGTAACTTCAAAGACGAATAACTCTGGTAATTGATAAGATTTTTGAAATTTTTAAAAAGTAAATGAAAATATACCTAATTGTTTATCATTCATAAGTTTAAGATTGTTAATATTTGATATATACAGTATGTTTATAATTAATTTAAAAAAAGAGTCATAAAAACTACAAAAAATTTTACTGTCAACTTTGACAGCTTATAAATTGCACAATTTTAATTCTAGGAACACCCTGTAAATTGCATAATAAACTTCGTCTATTTGTTCATATATATGCAAAATTTTAATTAAATCGGTTGATTACAAATAACCTAAAATTTAATTTCTAAAAAAATTACAACAAATTTTTACTTTTTTTCCTGAACCTCACAATTTTTATTCAAAAAAAGAACAATTTGTAGTCCTCACACGTATTTCCCGTCGACAAGTTAATTTTATGAAAAATGACGATGACACCCGCCGTCATTCCGGCGGTTTTTCCGCGGAAAATCGTTTCGTCGTTGGTGAAATTCAGCGGAAAAAAGGCGCCGACGAAAAGTGTCGGCAAAGTGGTTAATGTGTGGCGGGTGAATAAGTGCCGTTTGCACCTTTTGAATACCAAGGAAAAAAAGGGCCGCCGGAAAAAAGGGGTGAAAAACGCGCCGGCAGTTTTCGATTATGTTTGATATTAATAGTCGGGGCGACGTCGCGAATAATAAAACGGACGTCGATTTTCCGCCCGAATTGCGCACCGGGAAGAAAAATTCCCAGCGGGCACAAGCCCTTGGATTGAAGGGTTAGAGCATGATTAGTAAAGCAGACAAATCGGAAAGAAATCAGAGATAAAGAAAACGTGAAAATAGTGAGTGCAAAGTCCAAAGTGAGATTAAAAAAGTACGAATGATGGAATGCAAAGAGTGCAAACTTTAAAGAAGGATAAGACTTCTTCTGGAAGGGATTTTTGAAAAATTCAAACTGTTATTAAAAAGAATTTAATTGCCTATCACCTAGTATTTAATTTGATTAAAAATTTTGGTAAATATTTGTTTTATTGCTTATTTTATTAGGAAAATCAATGAATTATTTTTTTTTTTACCAAATTTTAAAAAGCGATAATTTTGTTATGATCTTATAAATCCTAAATTTTAAATCGGATACAAATTAAGCATTTGATTGCCTATAATTGTGCCAAATATGAATATACTGGGTGTTTGTTTAATCATATTTTTTTAAGTTTTAAAACGAAACCAAAAAATCGGTATTTATCTCATAGAAAATATGAAGTACCAAGTTTAACTTCTTGTAACTCCGAAAATATTAAATATTCTAACACCCTGTAAACTTGTTCATAAAGTACATTTAATATACTATATTTTCTCCATATTTCATAAATATGCATATATTTTTAGTATATTTTAACAAACATTAAAAAATTTTCAACAAATTTTAGCAAAACTTTGCCTTTCCAACTTTACCTTCATATGTCTCAGATTGTTTTTGAAATATTTTAAATTTTTAAAAATTATTGGAAAGTACGACTCTCTGTTTATATCTCTACCTAATTTCGTTACTATATCTTAACTATAACACTACTTAAATTGAAGTTGAATAAAAATTGTTTGTTTTGCTCACCAGTGTGCAGTCTTGTGTGTTGCTGGACGTGGCTGAGCTGCTTGAAGCGGCGATCGCAGTAGGAACATTTGTAAGGCTTCTCGCCGGTGTGCACCCGGATGTGCTGGACTAGCTGATGATTGCTGCTGAACGACTTCAGGCATTGCTGGCATTGGTGAGGCTTGACTTCCGATCGGCCGCTGATGTCTCGGGCGTGCATGTGCATTGCTGACTTTTGCATAAAGATCTGCAACAGACGCAAACAAAAAACGGTCAGAATCCGGAAGTAGTCACATGAGTGTTGTGTGAGGTGAATATTGTGTATGTAGTGCAATAGTAAAATCGTAGAGTTTTTAATAATTCAGCAGGTAACTTTTTACAAAACCGGAAGTGAACATTTAAAATTAGTATAACTTGACATCCGGGTATGATATCACAAAAATTTAAACGGTATTTTATTAGTTAGGTTATTTTTGATCAAATTTGTTTTTAGTAAACCGGAAGTTTTAGTTCTGGAGGCCTATATCTTGAGAACCGGAAATGATATTAAAAAAGTTAAAACGGTATTTTGAAGATACTCTATTTTTCTATGAACTGACAAAATTTCGTTTTATTATCACCACTTTAAAGGACCTTACAGTGAGTTAAAACCTAAAAATCAATTTTCAAAAATTTTAAATTTTAAAAACTTCCAATTTTACACTCAATTTAAACAAGTTCTATAAATCTCACAATATTAATATTAATATCAAATTAAAGATAATTTTATTGGCTTTTTCCCACTTTTTAAACCAACCCCGTAGAATTAAAAGTTTTGGCTCTATAAATAAAAAACCAAACAAAATCATTTTTCACCAGTTTTGCGTTGAATAAAAAAGTATAAATTCCGGGAAAGAGTTGAAAGTTACCTGCAAGGGGGTGCTCATCGTGACCTCGCAACTCTTTGCCACCCCCCGCGATTTTAATTCGGACGGCGTGGAGCGCGTCGCGCCGTCTCTTTAATTCGTCATTATTAAAATAATGTGCTTCAGTTTTAATATTTCATTTCACCTTCAGCAATCCGGCGCGCGGCCGCGCTGATTCTCGTTATGCGATTTTAAACTTTTCTACTTTCTACCCCGAAGGACCTTTACATAAATTGGAAAAACTTTTCATTAAAATTCCACTTCTTGCGCACGTCTTCAATTCTTTCATTTCAAATCTTTCGAAGGGCTTAAAAAGCAAAAAACCTGCCAAAGAAAAAAAAAAAAAAAAGAATCAAACAGACGGTTTGAAGAAGAAACGAAGAAATTAAAAATTAACATATTGCAATATACCGGAAGTGAAATAATTGCTTCATACACCACATGTGTTGTTGATTTTTCGTTTTATTTTCTTCGCGCCGCGTTGGGTATCGAAAAAAGTGAAAGCGTGGGTGGGTCGAAGGCATGGGGAAGCGTTCTAATTGAGATTGTGGGCACCTACACCGACGCAGCACAATTTTGTAACCGAGAAAAGCAATTTTTTGTTGTTGCACTCGATGAATGCACAGAATGTACGCACATAAAATAAATCGAATATCCCTTGATGCCTCAATGGGTGCAAGAACATCTGCTTATTCATATGAACATTGGACACCATACGGTGGATCAAACATTTGAATATCCAATAAATTTTTGTATTTTTTGTTGAAATTTTATTAAAAAATGAGGTTGAATTTTTTCAAGATGTGTTTTTTATTTTAAAGTAAATTTAAGGGTAGTTCCAAAAGTGATAGAGGGTTGAAATTTTGTGGAATGGTAAATAATTTGTGATACTTTATATTAATAAAAAGATTTTGTTCTTATATATTATGGTTTGTTTGTTATTAATGTTTAAAGTTGATTAACAAATTAAACTGACTCAAAAGTGATTTTATTTTCAATTGCAATTTAAGGGTAGTTTGGCATAAGTTAGAAAAATGAAATTTGCTATAATAATAAACAATTAAACGTACTATCATACAACGTCTAGAATTTATTGATATTCGTACTAGTTATTTAATTATGATACTGTAAAATTACTTTTTCTAATATTAAAATTAAAAAATATTTGAAATATATTTATATTTTAATCACATATTAGAAACACTTCCTGGTTAGATATTAATATGAAATCTTGCAAAAGTATAGTTAATTAGTCATATTTTAATATACCGTTTACTACGTAACGATATATCAAACGGTGTATTAATTATTCACTGCCAAAATATATCAATTCTTATAAAAAAATCTCTAAAACTTAACATAACAAATTTTAAAGCCAATTAAATTCCCTTCAAAATGACATACAGTATATCTCTGTGCATTAATCCTAACCTATAAATATTTAATCTTAAACTTGCATCTTCCAAAATTACTATTAATTCCTCTCTGCTTCACGCTGGAATTATTTGTTACAAAAGCATTTCAAGTGCAGGCAAGTGCAAGTGAGTGTCATCGGTGCAGAAGCGACAGTCACGGTCGTGTTTATCTTGCGCCGCAGTTATCTCGCGCTGATCTTGAAACTTTGTTTTCTGCGCGCAATAAAACGACGCGTTTAACGCGCCAGCCATGAACGAACGGCGATAAAAAAATAAATGCACGCGCACATGCATACGAGTATGGTGAATCAACATGCGTTTCTTTTTATTATTTATTTATCTCGTCGCTGCTGGCCATGCGCAGCGTGCAATATGCAGTGCTGTGATATTTCCAGACGACCTTGCCACGAATTCGCAAAAAACTCTGTGTATATCATAAGAATGCATTGAGACCAAAAATAGAAAGATTTCGTCTGATTTTTTTATAAACTTGTAAATAACGTGGAAAGTAATCATGTTTTTCGGATTATTCTTTCAGTGGTTTGTAGATAATTAAATTCTGTTTCTATTTTTATGTAAATTGTAGTTTTATATTGTTTATACATGCCTTTAAATTTGTTATAAACTTTTACTTTAGGTAAATATATTATTGGCATGTTTACAAGGGAATATCTTAATGTTCCACCTACTGATAAGAACAGTCTTTAATCAAGTTTTATAGCAAATTTAATTGGCTTTCATTTGATATACCGGATGTTTAAAAACGTTTATAAACAAATCAATTAAACTGAATTTATACTACAAAAAAGCAAATTAATTACAAATTTTAGTTTTTTGCTATTAAATCTACGAATAACTGATAAACAAACTAATGTATTGTATTAGTTGTTACACTATTTGATAGAGAATTAAATTAGCTTTCGTTTGATATATAATTTGTTTATATTTCTTATTGGTAAATAGCAATTATTTGATCCTAAACCTAAATTTCTTATTTTGATGTCTTAACAAATGTTCTTCTAACTTTAAACTGCAATAACTTTTTACTTGTACAAGATACAAAAACAGTATTTACACGATTCGGTAGATAATTTAATTAGCAATAAATTAATATACAGGATGTTTCAAAAATATTATTCAAAATGCTTCAAAATCAAATTTTAGCAAAATATTTCAAAAAATTTTCAAGCAAAATACTTTTCAATGTATTGTTAATGAAGTATTTTTGTTAATTATCTAGTAAAATTTTAAAAATGCATTTTTCGGAATGCGTACATCGTGCATGTGATATGCGACGCGCTTCGATCGCATTGCAGCGAGTGCGTTCATTGGCTCGCTCATTATCATAGAAATAATTTGACCTAATTAAAGAACGCCACAGTCGCAAGTGTGCGCGACTTTTACGCAAACCGAATGCATTCTGAATGACTTCATTATAATATTTATTATTTATTTTGTTCACGCAAGTCGCAAATTAGCGCCGCATTCTTGACAAAATACAAATCTAAGAATTAATGTCAATTAATCAAAGAAATTTACGTTTTTATGAGACACCCTGTATATGGTTTTGCAGAGAATTTAATTGGGTTTTAATTTATGTACGGATTTATCATGTAGCGTAAAATTTCTAGGAATTATAAACAAAAAAGTCAAGAAAAAACATGTTTGGAGACAGATTCGTTTCATGATTTTTTTTGTTAAAGTTTAACTGTTAATTAAATATAGTTAGGAATGTTCAATTAAATATTGTGATACATCCATAGATAGATAATTTAGTAGTCTATAAGATGTTGCTTCTATATTTTTATAAATAATAATATTTAAAAAGTTATTCCAATTTATATAAAAAAAATCTTTTTTTCACTAAAAAAATATTTTTTAACTTCAAAGCTAAATTAAACAAATTTGTCATTATGCCATAAATACTGTATATACATCATTTTAAAGATAATTTAATTAGCTTTACAATAGTTTTTATCCCATATCGCTACCCCAAGTACTTTTCATGTAATCCTCAAAAAAACTAAAAAATTCCATTTCGAGTTTTCCTTCACGTCAACAAAAAAAAAGCGTATGTACTACTGGAAACATGGAATCAATCAGCAAAGCATTTTAATGACGTGCGATTCTTTGCCTGGCATGTTTTTTTCGCGGCCAGTTCTCGATCGCAGGTGACGATGATGATGATGATGATGGCGATGCTGCGGCCGCATTACTCTAACCGCTTTTTTCTCTTCTCACAAGACGGATTCCGATCGCGTACGTTGGAGAATTTTTATCGGCGCACTTTTTTCGTCATTACTGCTTCTTTCTCTGCGCTGCGTTTTATTTATTTAGTCGCGCGTTCGATAACTCACGAGCGCGAGCGCAAAAGGAAATTTATCGCTTTATCGACGACTGGATACGGCGACTGTTAAGGGGACGAATTAAGAGACGATTAATCACAGCGAGATTTTTTTGCCACCTTTACACGACGAACGCGACAACAAGAGTTATAGGTATTTCTTTGTTTGGATATAAATTAGTGTGAAAATATGTTGTCGCACTAAACAAGCGATAACTGCCGATGTAATGGTGATATACGAGTGATTTCTTCACAGAGTGATAGTATAATAAATTATCTTTAAAATGATATATAACATATTATTGTAGATTCTTCGGAAGTACTTTTTATTTGAGGTTAAAATTGAAACTTTTAAGAAATATTTTTATAAAAAAAATTTTGTTATGCAGAATTAAATTGCATATAACTTTTGTTTAGATAATTCAATTTTTATTATCTTTTTACTGTTATATAGAGAATTAAAGTAGCTTTCTGCTGATGCATAACGTGTGTTAAATTATTTAGTGTAAATTAGTTTAAACTGCAATTAAAGTGCAAGTAACAATTTTTTTCATTAAAATCTTCAAAACCTGATTCTTTAACT